ATCTTTTTATTTGTATGTTTCTTTCCTTTAAAAATTATAAACATTTATTCTCAGATTTTTAAAATGTATTTAGGAGAGGGTCTACAGGGTCTCGGTCTCACTATGTACATCAGGCTTGTAGTGATTCTCCTGTTTTCAGCCTCCCAAGCACTGGGATTGCAGGCATGCACCACCACGCCCAGTCTCAGTCACCATCTGAGCATGCCCCTGGGATGGGGCCAGTTGAACCCGGGCTGCTGTGCTCTGCATAAGCAGGGGCTTTAGTCTGCGAGCTATCTGGCGAGCCCATCAGATCATTTTTAAAAATTCAAAAACAAAACTGTGTCATGAGAGAAACCACATTTGCAATGTTCTTGTAATTGTGCTGTCAATTCTACAAAAAATTTAATAATCTGCAAATAAACACATGATGCTATCATTTCAGAATAAGATTTCTCTCTTAATTAGTTCCTTGATAAAACTGTATAAGGAATTTCACAAAACTAGGGCCATTTTAATACATTTTTCAATCCTTCTCTGACTCCACTGTGGTTTCTTTAAAGATAAGCATTTAGTGAGATGGGTTGAAAGGTAAAATAATCATATGTTATTTTCTCTAAATAAGACATCATTACAACAAGCAAAGCTATTTATTGAGTTAATGATAATATCAATTCACCTTGTGCATTTTAAATATATTTGTTGTGGTTTGTATCTAGGTGTCCCACCCAGGCCTAATGCAGCCATTGAGGTGGCTTCTAGACTTTGTGATTAATTCATGATCTAAGGCTGGGAGTATAGGTCTGAGTACTGCTGGGATTATCTGCCCATCCTGGGGAAGACAACAGAAGGAGAGGAGAGAGGTTTGCCTCTGCCGATTCTGCCACTGCTCCTCCCTTTCGTCTTTGCTTTGTGCTGTTTTCTACCGCTATGAATTGGTTGCTCTCTGCCGTGTGCCTCTCTGCCTTGGAGCCAGCTGAGTATGGACTGAAACCTCCACAGACTGTGAGCTAAATAAACCTTTCCTTCCTTCATTTTGGGTGTTGGCTATTTGGCCCCAGCAACAAGAGAACAATAACCAAGATACACTGAGTAGAGATAACAGAGAGCCTTGGAATGAGTCCACTTATTATTCTTGTTCATTTGGAAGCCCATCAGCCTTCTGTTTCTTTTCCATAATGTCATTTCTGGGATTTGGCTTTAATGATGCAGAGGAGATCATGATTCTCTAAAAACAAAAATCTGGCACCAAAGATTTTATGCAAGAAAGCATATATTAGCTTTGCTTCACAATAGCTTCTTCCTTATCATCATCATTATTATTTTCATTTATGTATTTGGTATAGGGTCTCACTATGCAGATTGGACTCGTGGTGATGCCCGTTTTCAGCCTCCTCCGCTCTGGCATTACAGGCGCACACTACTATGCCTGGACTTTGGCTCAGTACGCCTGGGGCTGGGGCTGGCGTGCCAGCAGCTACTTCAAACAAGATACTTTTCTTCGGCCCGCTATTCCTGCCCCGTGGCCTCCCTTGCCGCTGCCCTCTCCTGTGGCACCCTACGCCACTTCCTCCAGTTTACTTAGTGTGGACAAAGCTGGCTGCATGACTTAAGGTGTGCACACAGCTGAGGCATGCTGCATCACAGCCCGACGCCTGTCCACACTGTCACTGCAGGATGGGCAGGTGGCTGATGAGAAACTTCTGCAGGATTTTTGCTGGAATCCTTGGTAAAGCAGTGTCTCCTTTTACTAGGTTTTCTGAGCTGGGAGAAAGTGAGCTGAAAGTTGCTGGTGCCATTTTGGAAAGAGCTTGACTAAGAATAAACGTGATTCAGTAAGAAGCAGAAACAAGAGCTGGAGAGATGGCTGCTCAGGAGATGACAATGTAGGAGGGTTCCACTACTCCTACTGATCTCAGTTAGCTGAGCTTATAGATTTCTCTTTTTGGTTAAACCAGGTTAATTTGTCTTTTTTCACTTGAACTTTGTAATTGTAATCTATGATCAGATGTAAAAAATTAAATAGCAAATATTTCCAATATAGGAGCCCATAATTTCATCTTTTTATCCAAATACACTCTGCAGTTCTACCTTCTTCTTTCTCCAATTCATATTCTATACAATGATCAGTTATCCTTTGAGTTATACTCCTATGGAAGCCTGTCCATGACTTCTCTTGGCTCAAAATCCCTTAGCCTAATTATCAGGAATTTCCACAGTCTTTTTCAAATTATGTTCTGGGGCTGGGATAATAGCTCAGCAGTCTAAGCAACTGCCTGATGAGTGCAAAGACCCAGGTTTGATCCCTGGTACCACATGCCATGCCAGACCTAGAGCCCTGAGTGTGCTCTGCTGGCCACCGAAACCAGGTGTGGTGGTGCACACCCGGAATCCCAGCTCTGGGAAGGCAGAGACCAGAGGTTCACTGCAAGTGTGAGCTGTGTGGTGAGACCTTGTACCAGATAAATAAATAAAAATAAAAAGATTTAAAAAACAAAATTATGCTCTGAGCCCCAGACATCTACACCACCCAGAAGGGTGCATTTGTTGTTTCTTTTAAATGTGCCTCGACTGGAGATATAGCTCACTGGCACAGTCCCTGTCTAGCAAGCACAAGACCCTCAGTTCGATTCAAGGTACTAAGTATTTAAAAAGTAAAAAGTAAATGTCCCCTCTTGTCTCTGCCTGTCTCTGTTTCTTTGTCTCTGTGTCTCTAACCTATGCACACAAAAAGTCACTCTAGGACATTCTCCTCCAATAAAATTCTCATGATTTAAGCTATTAAATAACTGATTGACTGCTTAGGAGGTGACAGACATTGCATTACATACTACAACCTTCACCATCCTGGGATTCACTGACTGTGCGCATATGCATGTTTGCTGGGGAAGGAGGTGGTAAGGAAACAATCATTACAGAAATTTAGGAATAAGCAGAGTGACCATACATCCTGATTTCTCTGGAGCAGCCCTGGCTTATGTCTGTTGTCCTGGCGTAAGAAGTACTGCATCCTTTTCACTCTTAAAAGTGTCTGTAATAGCTTTCTCTTGCTGGGCATAATAAGCAAAATATAAATGAGAAGGGGTTTCATTGAGCTCATGTTTTTAGGGGACATAGTCTATGTTCAGCTGGCTCCAACGCAGCGACATTATGAGAAAAGCTGTTGTGACAAAGACGCTTAGCTTGCTTGGCTCTTGGTGGCCAAGAAGCAGAGCAGGGGAACAGCATCCAAGAAGAAGAGGCCAAGGGCTGCTTATAGCACCCAGGGACACACATCCGTGGCCCACCCAGGCCCACTCAAAACCTGGATCCCCTGGTGGATCCCAAAGTCAACCAAGCTGACACTGCACCCAAACCATCAGTGACTTAGTCTGGATGATTAATGAATTTATCGCCTACCCTAAGTGCTTTAAGTATAAGACATTGTGGAAATAACTTTTTTTTTTTTTCAGGGAACACAGAAATGAGCACATTTCAGGCTAGTCTTTGAGAAGCAGTTTATCAGCACAACAAGGGTGGTATGAGAGTATTTGGAGGAAGATAGAATTAGTTAATGGTGAGAAGACAGGCAGCTTCTAGATGTGTGACTGAGGACAGACTGTGGTGAGACCAGAGGGAAACAAATCAAGATAACTGAGAGAGCATGAATAATCTCAGGCAGGGAGAAGCACACAGGGACAGTGCACACAGGGAAGAGGTGGTGAGAGGAAGAGCTTAATAAAATCATAAATATAAATTCTACCTCTCTGTGTATGTTGAGATACCTCGGTGCAGTTTTACTTTCTCTTTTTCTCCCTCTATTTTCCTTTTGCCTGAGACTGAAAGAGTCTATTTCTGCTTATTTGCCTCAGGGATTGCTACTACTTTCAAAACACAAATAGACTAAAATCAGTTGCCTGCCTAGACTTAAGAAAGAAGAGAAGCTAAATCTACTGAATAGTTATTTGCTTGAACCACATAAAACAGCCATTCCTATAGGCCATAGAAAGCAAAACACTGGCACTACCATGTGATCCTCAGGGGAGTCCCTGTGGGAATAATGCAAGAAGGGATGTTCCCGACAGGTTCTTGGCTTCACTGAAAGTTTCAAACAACCCAGATGCTGCCCTCACAAGACCCAGAGTCAGGATAAAGAGTACACTGCAGTCACCTTGGTGATCAGCTGACCAGGGTTACTAGCCCCCACCCCTCGGGAACTGAGTATCACTTGAAGGGTAAGAGCAGGGTTTGCAAGAATACCTAGGGGTTGTACACTGAGTAGTACAGGCTCAGGATCCCCGTCAGTGTGGCTT